GGGATCATCAGCAAATAGTTTTTGAGACTAGGTGGCAGTTATGTGGGGGTTGGCAACACTTTCTGTTCATTCGCTTCTGGTTTTTCTGGCAAGGATGTACCAGATGACAAGCATGATTTTGGGGATCGGGGAGCCTTACAAACCCATCAGTTTTTGTTGAATGTGCATTGGATCAAATGTTCTTGACGGACTCACTAAAGTTGCAACACCAACCAGAAAGCCAAAGGGTGTGGGAGCTTTCAAGTTTTGACACATCCAACGACGTAGGTTGGCTGAATTGACAGAATTTGATAGGGTTCCAAAGCCCCAAGTTTATTTGTGTCAAAAAATGAGCTGAAGCCCGCATCTTGAACCAACATGGGGTTGGAAGTCGAATGGCGTGAAAGTCTTTAAGTGATCATGGTTTAATAGCCACAGTCAATCTTTCATTTTTACCTATGCAATTCCTGTTTTGTTTGCCTAACTCTCCCTTCGGCAAGGCGCTCACCGCCTTGCTTCTGGTGAGTTTTTTTAGGCCTGGCGGCTGATGGTACGGCCAACCTCGGGTGGTTGGTTGGGCCAACACTTGAACATGTTCTGTTTTCTTCGTACCAAGGCAATCGGCAACGGCTGAGTTGTATGGTCATGTTAATTTGTGAACTTGTTGGGGTATCATTGTGTTCATGAAAGACACATTCGCATGTGCCTTTGCTATGCAGATCTATCAATGCTAAATTCAACTCTCAAAAGTCAAAAGATTAATCCGCCCACAACACCACAAGAGATGCATCACGAACGAGCTTCACAAATCCATATTGCGTCACACGCATTGTTGTGGGAATTTACAATCTAAGATTGGACTGTACCAGGCCCCTGTTGGCTTGAGAATGTGCCCAAATCCGCACGTCTCACTTCATGCAAAACAAAGCAACATGTATGAAACTTAGCCCTGACCAATGTCGTCTTGGACGTCTTTGGAACTCCCAGCAGCTTCTGCGAGAGCAAGAGACCTTTTTGTAGGCATATCAAAGTACTTAACGCAGTCCCCCACTAATATGGTTTTCACCTAGTCATGGTGATAAATCCAACACAATACTACTTTGGGATAAACAAGCACATGTCTAGATGGTTTCGCACTAAAAGGGCATTTGGTTCATTACCATGGTCAAAGGCCACGTAGAAATTGTCTCACAATGTGAGGTACCCCCACTTGTTTTACACTATGGCCATATCTTCATGGAAGTCAACCGGGAAAACGATGCTTCAAACCATTGGATTTGAGGTGTTCCCCATCATTTTTCCGGAAAAAGCCGAATCCGATCGGAAAAAATAGCAAGCAGAAGAATTATACGCCATATATACATATTCCCCACATATTCCCTCTATTTGATCCTATTTCAATATGATTTTCTCATACGTTCCCATCGCCTGGCCCGATGTTTGGCCATGCCAGGGCATCTCTCACTATGCCTGGAGACGTGCCAGAGGCGGGCTATGCCATTGTCCAAGACTGAGAAAACATGGGGAAACCAAATGTGAGTTTAACCGTCAGAAATGGGGACATGATTCGGATAACATGGGGATATAATTAATGAATAGTGGGTATTATATGAATGAATGGTTGTTGGTTTACGGGAGGGTTAATTTGGAGTTAATTTTGGAAACATGGCTTGAGGTTGTTGCAACAATCCCTAGAGCTTGCAATGGTCAGTTATATATTTTTTAATGCTGCAAACACTTTATATAGTCAAATTATGAAAAAAGGATCAAGTGGGGTTTAGATCTCCTACTGTAAATGATTGAGTTCCCACTTGTGACCTCTAAGTTTATTCATCCATATATATATATATAAATCCCAGAATTGGTGAGGGAACCCTTGCATTTTGGGCTGGAAACCATGGTGTCATGTGAATTGTCCGTTGAATCAATCCATTTACTCTGGCATATTCAGAGGCTACCACCAGTTTGGTAGTTTCAAGCTAAAAATATGTTCGTCATTGGGAATCATCATACCATATCGTCACTGGTTGAGTGGCAATCAACACCTTATTGTTTCCAAGTGAGCGCGGAAGTTTTCCAAAATCAAGAATTGCCTCTTCCCCCTTGGTGTATCTTGATATAGGTGATCCGACCGATCGGATGGTCCAGCATTGGATTGATGTGACATTGCCTTCGGACTTTGCAGCAAAATGGCAACAAGTCCCAGGTCTCGGAAATTACATGAGTTCGTATGCCGTTTTGACCGCATGACACCATGAGGGTGATTGAAAATAAGGTATCCGGAATCCCCTAATCTCATGGTTAATAACCATTCAGGAACTAGACGACGGATGGCCCGAGAGCGTAGAGGAGCAGGGTTCTTCTCTTGTTAGTATTGAAACAACGCATTTTAGAACGATATATAAAGATGGTTATAAGGGCAGTGAGAAGAAGGAGTACTCAAGACAAAATGGGAGAAGGTGGCAAGACAATATTTTGGCATCGTCAAACACTTTTACACACAGACGCTTTTACACACAAATAGTGCTTTTTACACCCAGAAGCTTTTTACACACAACGCGTTTAAAAACAACAGACGCTTTTCACTAACACAACGCCTTTTATACACACCCGAAGCTTTTACACGTACCGAAGCTTTTACAGACAGAAGCTTTTACACACATACGCTTTTACACAGATGCACTTTTACACACAAACACTTTTACACACAAACACTTTTACACACAGACACTTTTAACAAAGACCCTTTTAAACACACAGGAGCTTTTACACACAGAAGCGTTTACACGCAGACGCTTTTACACATAGGCACTTTTTCCACACAAACACTTTTGCACACAAACAAACACGTATTACACCCACACAAACACTTTTACACACAAACACTTTTACACACAAACACTTTTACACACAGACGCTTTTACACGCAGAAGCTTTTACACGCAGACGCTTTTACACACAGAAGCTTTTACACACAAACGCTTTTACACACAAGCGCTTTTACACACAATCATTTTTACATACAGACGCTTTTACACACAGACGCTTTTACACACAGGCCGGCCCATGTTCACGCACTCACAGTGAAGTCATCGTTGTCGCGGCCACCTCAGCAATTCGACGGAGGGGTGAAGTTCGTACCATGTATTTGGCGAACATGCATTCAATATAGTACAGGCTATAGAAGTATTGCTCAGACAGCTCTGGTTGCAATACAACAAATAGCTAAGTTGAAAATTAAATAGCTAAGCTGCTCACAAATTGTTCTCCAGGAGCTTGAGCTGCCACCAACACGAAGTGGTACTGATGCCTTCCTGTAATGCAACTGTCCATGCTTCCGCAGCAAAGGCCCGTGTTAGTGAACTTCTACCATTTCTCTTGACTCCAACAGATGCAGACAAGAATCACATCATCACTCATATATGCATCTATATAATCCATCGTCTCAGCATCATCAGGTGGAAATCTAGAAGCTGTATGGACTGGAATCAACCAATGGCTACACATATCCATGCGCTGTATTGGATGCGAAACGCTATTTGCTACAGGTCAACTCAAGCCTTTTTCATCCATGATCGCAGAAAATAGCATGCCAAGCATAAACATTCAAGCAAACTGCACACGAACGTGTCCTGCGGCAAAAGAAGAATCTGGAAATGCTCGGCGGTCATGTTTGCTCGGACAGTTCCGGTAGCAAACAAAAAAACTTTCATTCCAACCACAGCAAGGAAAGTGAGATGCTAAAATATGCTAAAGGGTTACCCCAAACTACAACAAATCCAAAATCAGTGAAAATCGCCATGCTCTGGAAATGCTTACAGTCATGTCTGCTCGGACAGTTTGGGTAGCTAACAAAAAATGTTCATGCCAACCTCAGCAAAGAAATGTGATGCTAAAGTGTTACCCACAAAGTCCACAACCCCAAAATGAGTGAATCCAACTGTAACCTCATTAATCCATTCATATCTCTTTGGGGGTAAAATTAAACATGCCTACTAAACATGCCAAGCAAACAAGTCAGGATTTCTTAAAACTCGCCTGCGAGACCTGAACATGACAGAGATGACCGGATAACAAACATGCCAAACAATCAATGGGGCAAGAAATCAAAACATGTAAGCAAGGCCTGAACATGACAGGGCTGACCGGAAAATAAGCATGCCAAACCATAAACAGGTCAAGCAAACATGCACACGAACATGTCTGCGCGAAAGAAGATCTGGAAATGCTTGCGGTCATGTTTGCTCGGACAGTTCCGGTAGCAAACAAACAAGCGTTCGTGCCAACCTCAGCAAGGAAATGTAATGCTAAGGGTTACCCACAAACTCCACAATCCAAAAATCAGTGACTCCCAATGCTCTGGAAATGCTTACAGTCATGTTTGCTCGGACAGTTCAGGTAGCTAACAAAATATGTTCATGCCAACCTCAGCAAAGAAATGTGATGCTAAAATGTTACCCACAAACTCCACAACCCCAACATGAGTGAATCCCACTGTAACCTCATTAATCCATTCATATCTCTTTGGGGGTAAAATTAAACATGCCTACTAAACATGCCAAGCAAACAAGTCAGGATTTCTTAAAACTCGCCGGCAAGACCTGAACATGACAGAGATGACCGGATAACAAACATGCCAAACAATCAATGGCGCAAGAAATCAGAACATGTAAGCAAGGCCTGAACATGACAGGGGTGACCAGAAAAGAAGCATGCCAAACTATAAACAGGTCAAGCAAACATGCAAACAAATATGCCTGCGCGAAAGAAGATCTGGAAATGCTTGCGGTCATGCTTGCTCGGACAGTTCCGGTAGCAAACAAACAAACGTTCGTGCCAACCTCAGCAAGGAAATGTGATGCTAAAGTGTTACCCACAAACTCCACAATCCAAAAATCTGTGAATCCCAATGTAAGTTCATTAATCTATTCACATCTCTTGCGGGGTAAAATTAAGCATGCCTACTAAACATGCCAAGCAAACAAGTCAGGACTACGTCAAACTTGCCAGCAAGGCCTGAACATGACAGGGATGACCGGAAAACAAACATGCCAAAGAATCAACGGGGCAAGAAAACAAAACATGTAAGCAAGGCTGCTTTTACACACACATTGCCGCTGTCACACAGAAACACCTTTTACACAGAAACCCTTCTGCACACACTTGCTCAGAAACAACATTGCGAATTGCTGATGTGGAATGCATCAGAACGTGCAAAACACCCCAGCAAAACCTAACACAAGAAAGGAAAAAAAAATTATATATATAATATATATATGGGACTGTGGTGGGCCACATCTGCGACTAAATGCGCCAGCGTGCACCACCACAGTCCCGCAGGTACGTTTTACAACACACGGGTCCGTGAGGTGTCTTCGTTGGTCACCGACCCCCCCGGGACCCCGGTGACCCCCTGCAAGATAAGAAGTTTTTCATCTATTCAGATGGTACACACACACGCCCCACCGCGGCGGGGCAGATGAAATCAAAATGAAAGTGAGGTGACAATGAAAATGAAATGAACAATACCTAACCAGGACGCGAAGAGGGGAACGCAAAAGAAGAGGGACAGAGAGAACACCAACACGACACACCTGGCCCGAAACGGGCAAACCCTGAAAAGGCAAGGGAAAAGAAAAGCGGAGGCCGACGGACAACGGAACAAGACCAGCGGAGGGGGGGGAAGGACGGAAGCGCCTGAACCAACCTAACACGGCGAAAACCTACGCCTACCTCGGCACGCGCAGGACCCAACCTACCTGGAGAGAGGAGAACGCAGGAACACATGAAAAAAGGGACCCATGGGGAACTAGTTAATGAAATGATGCAACCACAACGCATGCAGTATTCGTGATAAGGCTCAAAGGCCCTCGGCTTTCATTTCAACCCCATCGACGGCTGTCAGTATTCAAGTGAATTAGGTGCACAATTGAACCTCACCAACGACCATCAAAAGAAAGGAGAACCATACCTGCAAGAATGTCCTGTTGCCTGTGAAGTCCTATGCAATTCAGCGAAAAAGAAAAGAGGCCCAGTACAGCGGCCAGTTGTTCAACCAGACGACTTCGACAAGGTGAGAATCGGAAAAAAGGCCAGCAGTTCACTTTACTTAGACGAATTACTAATTCAAAAGTGTAAATTCAGACATCGTTTTACTGTCAATTGTTAGCCTGGAAAGGCTTTCCCCGAAGGGTTCCTGCCAACTTGACGTATACAGCAGGAATGACACACTTGCTCAGAAACAACATTGCGAATTGCTGATGTGGAATGCATCAGACGTGCAAAAACACCCCAGTAAAACCTAACACAAGAAATGAAAAAAAAAAATATATATATATATATGGGACTGTGGTGGCCACCAGCTGCGACTTAAATGCGCCCAGGTGCACCACCACAGTCCCGCAGGTACGTTTACACGGGTCCCGGGGAGGTGTCTTCGTTGGTCACCGACCCCCCCGGGACCCCGGTGACCCCCTGCAAGATAAGAAGTTTTACATCTATTCAGATGGTACACACACACACCATTTTACACAGAGACGCTTTAACACACAAACCCTCCCTTTTACACACAAACACTTTTACACACAAAAGCTTTTACACACAGACACTTCTACACAGATGCACTTCTACACACAAACACTTTTACACACAAACATCTTCACACAGAAACACACTTACACACAAACCCTTTTACACAGAGACACTTTTACACACAAAAGCTTTTACACACAAACACTTTTACACAGATGCACTTGTACACACAAACACTTTTACATACACACATCTTTACACCGAAACACTCCGACACACAAACACGTTTACACACAAACACTTTTACACACAGAAGCTTTTACACACAAACACGTTTAAACAGATGCAATTTTACATGCAATCACTTTTTACACACAAACATCTTTACACAGAAACACTCGTACACACAAACCCGTTTACACACAAAGACTTTTACACACAGAAGGTTTTACACACAACACGTTTACACAGATGCACTTGTACACACAAACATCTTTACACAGAAACGCTCGTACACACAAACCCCTTTTCCTGCGAAAGGATTACTCCAGCACACGATAAATCGCAATTTTTCCTCAGTTTTTGTCGATCGACCTTCATTTCGTGCGAAAGGGTTGCTCCGGCACAACTCAAATCGCAATTTTTCCTCAGTTTTTGCCGATCGACCCTCATTTCGTGCGAAAGGGTTGCTCCAGGACAAGTCAAATCGCAATTTTACCTCAGTTTTTGCCGATCAACCCTCATTTCGTGCGAAAGGGTTGCTCCGGGACAAGTCAAATCGCAATTTTCTTTTCCGCATTTTGCCAAAAAAAAAAAAAATTCAAAAAAAAAAAATAAATGCGACCTTCATTTCGTGCGAAGGGTTGCATCCAGCACCGAAAAAAAAATCGCATTTTTCCTCAAGTGTTTGCCGATCGCCTCGTTTTCGTGCGAAAGGGTTACTCCAGCACACGAAAAATCGCAATTTTACCTCAGTTTTTGCCGATCGACCCTCATTTCGTGCGAAAGGGTTGCTCCGGCACAAGTAAAATCGCAATTTTACCTCAGTTTTTGCCGATCGACCTTCATTTCGTGCGAAAGGGTTGCTCCGGCACAACTCAAATCGCAATTTTTCCTCAGTTTTTGCCGATCGACCCTCGTTTCGTGTGAAAGGGTTGCGTTTCGTGCCGTCTCGTTTGCACTGCCCTGCCCCCGCCTTCAGAAGAGAAATAGAAAAGAAGGAGAGAGCAAGAGGGCAAGAGGGCAAGAGGGCAAGAGGGCAAGAGGAGAAGATGTGAAGATGTGAGGATGTGAAGATGTGAGGATGCGAAGATGAGAAGATGTGAAGATGAGCAGATGTGAAGATGAGCAGATGTGAAGATGAGCAGATGTGAAGATGTTAAGATGAGAAAATGAGAAGAGATGTGAAGATGAGAAGTTGTGAAGATGAGAAGGTGTGAAGATGAGAAGGTGCGAAGATGAGAAGATGAGAAAGATGAGAAGATGTGAAGATGAGAAGATGTGAAGATGAAAAGATGTGAAGATGAGAAGCTGTGAAGATGAGAAGCTGTGAAGATGAGAAGATGTGAAGATGAGCAGATGTGAAGATGAGCAGATGTGAAGATGAGCAGATGTGAAGATGTTAAGATGAGAAAATGAGAAGAGATGTGAAGATGAGAAGTTGTGAAGATGAGAAGGTGTGAAGATGAGAAGGTGCGAAGATGAGAAGATGAGAAAGATGAGAAGATGTGAAGATGAGAAGATGTGAAGATGAAAAGATGTGAAGATGAGAAGCTGTGAAGATGAGAAGCTGTGAAGATGAGAAGCTGTGAAGATGATGTGAAGATGAAGAAGATGTGAAGATGAGAAGATGAGAAGCTGTGAAGATGAGAAGATGTGAAGATGAGAAGCTGTGAAGATGAGAAGATGAGATACAGACCCCCACTATTGGAAGAACCCTGCGCTCAGACGCTCTCGGGAAAAAATCGAGTAGTGCCAGCAAAACAATGGTAAACCACCCGCAAATTTACCGGTAGAAACCATCAAAATATGGGTAGTTTATTGTTGCTTTCCTAACATTATACTCCATTGACAAAACCACACGGGTAAGAACGCTTCGTTCTTGCACTTCTCGCAGGGCGAAGCCTGGAGATTTGGTACCTTTAAGGCGCGACATTTTCCCGGGCAGCCGGGTGGGTCCTGTGCAACCTGGCGCTCATCTCCGGCCATGTTTTCAGTACTGCAGTTGTTGCTTGTGAAAGACATGTTTTGTTCCACTTGATCTTTCTTCTCCAGACGCTACTTGTGTGCGGTAGTTGCTTCTGAAGGGCTGCAGCACGGATGAATCATGTTGCAGAATCAAAAAGGATTTGGCAAGCTATCCAGACGAGCACCCAAAGCCAGGTGCAAGCCTTTCCACAGAAGGTTTACCAGTCCGTAATAAAAGGGCTGGCTGAGAAATCTCCCACTCAAAATGGAAGCTGTAATGGGAAAAACATCCAGGGAAACGCGTGATTTTCCGGCAAGCCGTGTTTGATTACCAGAATGTAAAACACCATGTTTTCCCCCATTCTTGGGGCCCCCTTTTGGGGAGATGGTGATGGTGTTCCAGCCCAGGATCCAAATATCACCCAGGAGGTGAAATTTTCGGGTGAACGGCGGCGTTGCAAACACTGCCTCATCTACAAGCCTGATAGGCCAAAAGCATGGGGCATTCTGATAGACGTGGGTAATTAGATCTTTTCTGTACCTGGTAGGGTAATCCCCAAATAACCATACCAAAATAATAGAAAATCATTACCCTACCTGTTCTTTGGGGATTTCTTTGATTACTTCATGATTGAGTTTGCTCGGTACAGAAAAGATACGGGATGGATTTTTTTTTGGGACGGATGCATCCACATACTCCTTGGATAGCTTTTGACACCCCAAACAATTGGAATGTCATGGAATATCCCTGAATCTTGATCAAAATGATCGAACCAATCTGAAAATAACCCAATGCCCTCAGAACGACAAAAGCCATCGCAGGTGCACACCACAACCTGGACGATTCGGTGTTATGAATTGAGATACTGTATGGATCGGAATTGTGTAACTTTCTGCCAGTCAAGGTATTTATACTTCTGTCTTAATTAAGGTGTGTATATATTTATTTATATATATATATATATATATACACATGACAGCTTTCCGACAGCCTTGTTGGACATCTTGGAAGACAAAATTAGATTGAGTCCTCATGCTCCGGGCTGGAAACTCGTGTGACTGGGGTGCCTTTCTGATCTGGCACCAGCTCAGCCTTAGTGGCAGGTGTCACCATTGCAGGATTTGCAAGTCTTGTATCTTGTGACTGGGAAGCAGACAGTGGATTCCCTGGCCGACAAGATGGCAACCTTGATAATCCTAATTGCTCAACTCAATAGCTTTTTTACGGGGGCGACGGTTTACATCTGGGGCAGTGATGACAGGGGGAGTTTGGCACTTGTGGATTGATTCAATTGGGTATTTTGGGTTCGAAACGGATGTAGTTCAGAGTGTTGCTCAACCAAAGAAGCATCAACGGGGCAGCAATCAGCTTTGCGCACGAAAGCGAGCTGGGTTTGGCAAATGCAAATCGCATAATCTACATATTTACAGGTAGTTGGGCCGTTCCGCTTAGACAGGTAGATGACCGCAGGATCAGTGGGTTTGGTTTACCATTGGCTCAGCTCAGGAAAATGGACCATCATTGCCCTTGGATCATGAACTGCATTGGCTTCAGGACATCGAACAGACACCAAACGTGTCACCACTTTTGTCGAAAGGGCAAGTTGTCATCTCCATGTAATCTGAACCTTGGGAGCCCAAAGAGATTGCCCTGTCCAGCAGGATCCTTTCATGTTGTTTGATCTCAGATTACGTAGATTGTGTTAGATGATCACAGTTTGTTGGGCCTGACATCCAAAGACTGACTGGTTGTTTTTTCTTCTGGAGACTTTGGACCCATGCCTACAAACTCAAAGAAGTGTGCACCTAGCAATATGACCCAGGGGTCTGTGTGACTCATAGACGGACCCGAGCAAACATTGGAAAATCGGAATCCATGTAGACATGGTACTTTCTTGGCGTTGCAAATCACCGCTTCTATGATGAGATGGGTGGTAAAGACACAGGGAAAGACACAGAAAAAGCATGAAAAAGCTGGCTCTTATTGCCGATCCTATCCATTCCAAGCGACCATGAGGGTGAGAATTTCTATAGGGGACATCTCCAAGTTGAGCCCGGAAGATGGTTCTAAAAGATGGGGGATTCCACTCCTGCCTTGACTGGAAACTGTTCAACTTGTGGATTTCCGCTTCCATCCTGCAGGAATCATAAATACTTCTTTTTGCTGATCATTTACTCCATGCTCTGCTGGGAGCCCTAGATTCCTCTCGGCCATGCAGCAAGGTATCCAGTATGCCAGGGGGCCATAGGGAACAAGAATCTTGAATAATTCCTGCCCAATTTGTTGACCGCAGCTGCTCGAGACTATATGTGAAGCTGTTGATCTTAAGCATCAGTGCCAAAACAGCTGGCAGAATGCGATTTCCCGCAAAACCAGGTTGTGCCTTCATCGGAGTCACAGTCATAGGGACCATCCTCGAGTCCCTGGAGCAGGACACGAATTCTACGAGTTTTACGGATTGTGGGACTATGAGCATGTATACAAGTGGCTGGTGGTTGCAGATGTTGATTTTCAGTCTGACTTGGGATGACGGTCCCCAGTTGGCTTTTCATAGTATTGCGGTGAATTCAAATCATCAACCAGAGCATATGGTCCAAAAAGGCTTGTGTTCATTTTGGTTAATGTTGACACTGTTTTTCTTATCTCTGTGTATCAAATTTTCCCACTATCCACAAAGAGTTCTTCTGGGAGGAGGAACATGTTCCGAAATGATGATGTTTAGTGCTGGGTCCTTGCCAACCTCCTGTGTCAGTGGGATATTAACAGTCTTATGCTGCAAGTTCCTGGAGCTCGCACTCGTCAAGGAGATCGTGAAGAAAATACAGATCATTGAAGGGTGTTTTCAAAAGTGTGCCTTTTCCTTGCTCAGAAGGTTCGCGGGCCATTCTCCAAACTGTTGAAACCGTTCACAAGCATCATGAATTGGAAAAGGTCATCAGCCTATCCATGGATATTGATTGCAGTACCAGGCGATGCAAATTGATTTCTTCAGTGGGGGAAGTTTCAGCAGCACTGTAGCTATCGCTAGGAATTAACCTTATGTACTTGGAGTAACTCTGAGAAGATAGAAAATATTATTTTTAGCAGGATTTTACATTTTCATGTGTTGGAGGTTTCCTATAGGTGAATTTGGTTTCAAAAAAGACCCCTAGAATGCAACCAGGTGGGTTGAGGAAAACAGACACATCCAAGTCTCTCATATATTCAGGAGCTTCAAGACAGGTGAATTGAGACCCCACCCATCAACCCCCCCAAAAAAAACACCCAGCTTGAAGACACCGGGATGAGTTTGTGAGGAGATGCCTGTTTGCCAACGTTTCTTGCTCTTGTTGTGCTTCAGCACCTCTTCGATCATGGGCCCGGCAACCCGGACGTATCCCGGACGACAACGAATACTGTCGCCTCACCGGGGCTGGTTTGAAAGTCACCGGCGCCTCCAAAGAACGTTGGAACCCCCAAGGCGCCCAAAAGCTGGCCTGGAACATGACGTAATGTTTGTCTTATGTTTGTCTTCAAATCTATGTTGCATCTGCTAGGGGCTAGCGCAAGTTTTCTCAGAGTCATATCGCGTGGTTGCTTGACAGAGAAATTACTAGATTGTCGGCCAACACATACCAACATCATTGTCTCAAGTAATGGAAGAGTCAGCCGGTTGCTGCCCTCGATATTGTGGCTGCAGGTGGCCTCTTAGTAGTGTTTGCTGCCTTCCACGTGATGCTCATGCTGCGGGGTTTGACGTCCGGGACCTTGTTTTTTCCTGTCAGCAAATAAGACATGAAAATGGGATCATGCCTACTTGATACATTCTTTCATTCCCTGGTCTTGATACAAAATAGCTCGCAAGTCGAAGCTTTCATGACGTTGGCCAACTTTGCTGGTGTTCTTGTGCGTTACCGGCTCGCAAGTATTTCAAAGAGTTGCCTATATAATAAAGATTGACCGCAGAAACTTCACCTTTGGAACCTAGTCGCAGGGTCTTGAAAATGCAAACTATGCAGGCAGACTGTGTCGTTCCAAAATCCGTCTATACCAAAGGATGATTGTGGTTGTTCGGCCATCCCACATGCAGTTTCTTCGTTGAAGTTCCTGCGTCTCCCCAGGTCCCAGCCTTTCCCTGGTAGCTGAGGACCATCGAGTTTTGCGAGAAGCTGTCCATTGTCACCAGTGGTAAATCCTCCAAGTGCCCCGGGCTGCAACACTTGGGACGCCCAGGGCCCAAGGGATGTCTCCTGGGACACCCCTATCCAAAGCTGTGTCACACATCCTTTGACAGCCAGGATAGGAACGACAGCTGCGTTTCAGGATCCAGTTCCGCTTTTTCAGTTTCTTGACACCAGAAAGTGGCCGTTTCGAGTCACAGATTGTCTCTGGCGTTTAGGGCCCCATCGTTCTTCTACAAATTGCTATGCAGATCCGCAATGGGGAATCCAAGATAGAATATAGACGTAGATCTTGAGACTTGGTGAGAAGGACCGAATCATCGCAACCTGCCGCTTTTGTTTCGCCATTCCCTGGGATCCATGAATAGAAGACCCCCATTTGGGTCGCGAAGGAACACGTCCTTCAGCCAGGTACGACATGGGAGCCTATCGCAACATCACAGCCGGGTATTCCCAGGTCAATGAGGACTGAGAGACCCACGAAATGGCGGCCATATGGCAGGAAACATCATATTCATCAACCATGGGTCTATTCGTATCTTGTTGAGAGGAGGTTGGCAGCACTGATTTGATGGTTAGAGTTTTCTGAGCTGTGTAGTCACCGCCTGCATTTTTGCTAGGAATTTCCCTGGTTTTCTGATCCTTGTTACCTCCTCACAGCGTTCCCCAAACCTGAAAGATTAGAACTCCTTAACTTGTCTGGTGGGCCCAACCGTTCAAGCCATTCAGGGAGGTAGGCCAGCATCAGCATCCTGTTGACCTCCATTTGATCCTGTGCTCAGGCTGTCTTTGGCCCCAGACCCTACCTGTGGTTCTTGCCTGTGGATCCACCGGCCGCTTGGACACAGTGGTGATTTGGACTCAAGCTCTGCAGCTTGTTCAGCCAGTCAGCAGTTGCTGGGTCAGACTTCCAGTCTTGCGCTTTAAAAGAATCTGCAAGCTTACGGTTAAAAAACCACATCACACTTTGGAGAGGTGGAAAGAAGGCAACGGTTTCGTGAGTCACCGGTGAAGAGAAAATTTGTGCGCTTGGGTTTGGGTCTAAAATTACAGGCCTAGGGGCCACAGATGCATTCGTTTTTGTTCTGCTCAGCCTCCTTGAACCTTAGTGTCCAGATCCGTCTAGCTGTGCGTGTGCTGGCAGCGATTACTTTGATGATCTTTGAAGAGTTTGGCGGTTTGAGAATGATTGTGCCCTCTGGAGTGGATGTTGGAAGGTTAATGAGGAGACCAAACATGGATTGACCAATGGTACCACTAGTTTACCCATGTTTGACCCTGACTCTTCGCCATAATCATAAGATCCAGACTTCATCCTGAGCCCAACCGAAAGGAGCCCTCAGTCGATGATCAGAGTTTGATGCGTTGACTATCTGTGGGTCAAGAGCAAACAAAGCAAGAGAGTAGAGTGGTAAAACTTCATTGTCTCAGCACATGTATGGGGATATATATGTCTGAGGGAAATTATCGCAACGTCATCACGATGTCACTCGAATGATGGTTCGTAAGGGGAGTCATTCTAAAAGATGCTAATTTGAGGTTGGTGAAAAGCTGCACTTTATCCAGATGTCAGGTCTTCAATGTTGTTTCAATTCCGGTACCCACGGGTTTTGACTCCTGCGGCTTTGTGCGCGAACGCATGGTAGTTGAACATTCCCTACTTGGAGCTCTAAGAGTCTGAACGTTTTGAGGAAGTCATCCAATCCTATTCTCACAGATACTGTATATAGTGAAAACTGTAAAAGCCAAAACTGTTTAATCAAATATTAAGGTCACGGGTTGAAACCAATAGTCCCTATTCTCTTCAGGTTTGCATCGCGCGTAAGCACTTCTAACGTGTTTTGCTGGATGCACGAAGTACCTTGCTGCTTGCTAGCTGACATCTCATTCTTTCTTTTGATGCTTTCTCTTCCTTCGTTCGACAGCATATACTGTTTTGTGTTTCTGGATTTACCTTCTCTCCGCGGATCTACTCCACTCTTGTCGGGTACACATGCTTGATCTGCGCACACAGACATTGTTTTGTCGACTTACTATGTTTTGCGAGCGATGCCCTTGTTTGCTGGTTGTACTTTGCTTTCACGATGTCTGTACATAGTGTATAGTCTATTTTAATATATAAGATTATGTATATATAATTGTACACATACAGTACACATATCCTACGGATGCTGCCCGGCCACCTAAAGCAGAAGACCCTGCATGATTCATGTTGCAAGGCCCCAGTCCACTACAGGAAAAGAAACATGCACAACAAAAAATGAAAAACACAAATCTCTGCCAGAATAGCCTGAAGAAGGGTCTCTAGCTTTGAAACTCTGGGTGTGGCCGGCGCTTACTTCAGTACCTGTACACAGTACCTATCAAGAGATTTTTCTACTGGACTCCATTGCTGCTTTGAGTCTTTGGAATTTGATACTTAGAGATATTTTGCTTATGAACCTCCTATTGATGAATCTCTTATTGCTTCCCAGTGTTTCCAATTTACCATCTGGTAGTTTAACATAGCCATGGAAAATCACGATTTCTACATGTGTCTGATAGTTATGTTCGATTGTCCATAACAAACTCTTCAAATTCCGGAAGGTAAATCCATCTTAATTTAGATTGATGGATGGTCATATATCCCATACTGTATGATCTTCTTATACATCATGAATATCCCATATCCCGAATTGCCCTTCAGGCTGGCGACGGGCTCAGATTTGCCAAGCCCCGAGGGCGTAGTTTGGCTCGGACCTCAGGCACCATCAAAGGCCCATATGACACCTGAGATGATTTGTCAATGGTTTATTTTACTTAATTATTGGTTGTCATGTGTCTGATATCGCTTCTTTATCTATTCTATGCTATATGTATACTGTATTCTGTTTTCCTTAGGGATACCCCATGTTCATCTCCAAATCAGACCCCCGGCCCTGTCGCAAAGAGCAAGCAAAATCTTGCGGGTCTCAAGTCTCGATTTTGACAAATAAGGAAATGCAAAATGACACTTGTCAACTCATCTCGTCATTTTGGAGGTGTGAACGTGAACAGTAGGATCAATAGTGTGCTAGGGCCTGACCGACACCTACATTGATCAGTAGGGCCAGTGATTTCGGATACCTATATGGACAGGATTGCGGGCTACGTCGCTATGGATTTGCAAAATAGATATGGCGGTTGGACCCTTGCCTTGGAAATGGATAGTGTCACCTCTTTGTATGTCAATTTGCTGGAGTGCTGGGATAACACAACTTGTTCATTCGCTGAGGCCGCACCACGTTACTTGCCGCATGATCCAGAATGGACGGGATACTCAGAAAGGGGTCAAGAATCGGCACCCCAGAAAATCGAACGAAAAAAGTTGAAGGGATCAAAAACATTCTGGTGGGTGGATTCAAGTACTTGTTTCATCCCCAGAAGAAACACCCCACATGTCTTTTCACGGAAAACCAATTCCCAGCATCATGTTACCATGTAACCCTCGCGCATATCAAGGACTTGACTCTCAAACAAAGAAAAAAATCTTAGAATCCTCAATCTTCAATACATAGATCTTTTATGCATTCTATTTAATAAATAATATATAGATTTTTTGAATATTTTTTAATGAATATATAAATATGTCAATAAATATTGGAAATAGTTAATAATTTATGTTATTGTTATTTTAGATACCAATAGATTCGAAATATTTTTTTGTTTGTATATTTCCCCACATCACTGTGTGGGGTTCTTGTTTTTCGCTCTGCACCCGCCGCTCTCCTTCCGCATCACACAGCACTCATCTGACACCACTCATCACACAGCACACTCATCTCATACCCTTGCCACACAGCGGCTGGCTTTCGTGTGGCAGGCGCAGTACACAGAGCCTTCTGGAGGAGCTGCTGCGCGCGTGGGCGCCGCTGAGCCGCAGCTGGCTTTCGTGTGGCAGGCGCAAGGAACAGAGCCTTCTGGAGGAGCTGCTGCGCGCGTGGGCGACGCTGGCCGCGGCTGGCTTTCGTGTGGCACACGCACTACACAAAACCTTCTGGAGGAGCTGCTGCGCGCATGGGCGCCGCTGGGCCGCGGCTGGCTTTCGTGTGGCAGGCGCAAGGAACAGAGCCTTCTGGAGGAGCTGCTGCGCGCATGGGCGCCGCTGGGCCGCGGCTGGCTTTCGTGTGGCAGGCGCAAGGAACAGAGCCTTCTGGAGGAGCTGCTGCGCGCGTGGGCTTCGCTGGCCGCGGCTGGCTTTCGTGTGGCAAGCGCAAGGAACAGAGCCTTCTGGAGGAGCTGCTGCCGCTGGGCTGCGGCTGGCTTTCGTGTGGCAGGCGCAAGACACAGAGCCTTCTGGAGGAGCTGCTGTACGCGTGGGCGCCGCTGGGTCGCAGCTGGCTTTTGTGTGGCAGACGGGCTTTCGTGGGAAAGGTGCGGTACACAGAGCCTCAGGAGCTGCTGCGCGCGTGGGCGCCGCTGGGCCGCGGTTGGCTTTTGTGTGGCAGACGGGGTTTTGTGTGAAAGGTGCAATACACAGAGCATCCTGGAGGAGCTGCTGCGCGTGTGGTCGCAGCTGGGGCTGCTGGCTTTTGTGTGGCAGACGGGCTTTCGTGTGGCAGACATTGGCAGACGTAGTACACAGAGCCTCCTGGAGGAGCTGCTGCGCGCGTGGGCGCCGCTGGGCCGCGGCTAGGTTTCGTGTGGCAGGCGCTGTGTGTAAACGTCGTTCCGGGTAGCCGTGACAGGCGGAGATGCGAACATGTGTGTTTTATGTTTGGATGCTGGGATTTTGGAGGATGGTCTGGGTTCTATTGGGTTTTTTGTCGCCATTATTTATTTTATTTCATCATATGAAATATACATATACATTACAAACACATACAGATACATCAGATACATACACACACAATCACACACATATTACACACACAGACGCACAGATTTCTTTATTAATCGCTTTATTTCCTTTCTTTTTTATTCTTTTAAAAAAACCATATTATTTAATTACCTTAGGCGAATTTTAATTATTTATTTTGACGAAATTGATATCGTATGATGATGCAATTAATTTTTACATAATAGGCGGAGTAGGCAGAACCTCTTATAAAGAATATATATATTGAATATTGTTTGAAGAAAATTATATTAGACGACGGATGGCCCGAGAGTATAAAGCAGCAGGGTTTTCTCTTGTTAGTATGGAGATACTATATTATAAAACAATATATTAAAGATATGTTATAAACAGATGAGAAGAGTATCCAGATAATATAGCACAAGTATAAGACAATAGTTTGTATCACAAACACTTTTACACACAGAAGCTTTTACATATAGACGCTTTTATACACAAAAGCTTTTACACATAAATATTTTTACACATAGAAGCCACAGATATTTTTACACACAGACGCATTTACACACAAACGCTTTTACACATAAATATTTTTACGCACAGACACTTTTACACACATATATTTTTACTCACTAACACTTTTACACACTAACACTTTTACACACATACGCTTTTACACATAGACGCTTTTATACATAGACGTTTTTATACACAGACCCTTTTACACACAGAAGCTTTTACTCTTAGAAGAAGCTTTTACGTACAGACGCTTTTATACAAAGAAATTTTTACGCACAAATACTTTTACATATAGACGCCTTTACACGCGCAGACGTTTTCACATTTAAACGCTTTAATATACAAACACTTTTACACATAGACACTTTTCCACACAAAAGGCACAGACGCTTTTACACACTAACATTTTTCCACACAGACGCTTTTACACACAGACGCTTTAACACACATACGCTTTTACACTCGTTTCGCGCGAAAGGGTTGTACTTGGACCCTTGAAATCGCAATTTTACTTCAGTTTTTGGCGATCGAACCTCGTTTCGTGCGCAAGGGTTGCGCGGGATAAGTTGAAATCGCAGTTTTACCTCAGTTTTTGGCGATCGATCCTCATTTCGTGTGAAATGGTTGTGCCGGACAAGTTGACATCGTAATTTTACTTCAATTTTTAGCGATCGAACTTTATTTCGTGCGAAAGGGTTGCGCCGGACGACTTGCAAATCGCAATTTTACCTCAGTTTTTGGCGATCGAACCTCATTTCGTGCGAAAAGGTTGCACGGGACAAGTTGAAATCGTAATTTTACCTCAGTTTTTTAGCGATCGAACCTTATTTCGTGCGAAAGGTTTGCGTTCCGTGCCGTCTTGTTGGCACTGCCCCTGCCCCCGCCTTCAGAAGAGAAATAGAATAAATAGAAAAGAAGGAGAGGGCAAGAGGACAAGAGGAGAAGATGTGAAGATGTGAGGGTAAGAGGGCAAGAGGGCAAGAGGGCAAGAGGAGAAGATGTGAAGATGTGAGGATGTGAAGATGTGAAGATGTGAGGATGAGAAGATGTGAAGATGAGAAGATGTGAAGATGAGAAAATATGAAGATATGAAGATAAGAATATGGGAAGAAAATGAGAAAATGGGAAGATGAAAAGATAATAAAATGAAAAGATATGAGGATGAGAAAATATAAAAATGAGAAGATATAAAGATGAAAAGATAAGAAAATGAGAACTACACCCCTAGTATTAGAAAAATTTTATATTTAGATATTTTCGGAAATAAAATATAATTATAAAAAATTAAATATAAAGAATTATCCGATATTATTATTCTAGGCAAATATAAATTATATTACAAAAATAATATTATTAAATATTATTAAATATTATTGAAATAATTTTAAATATTATATATAAAATAAAATATTATTAAAACTAAAAAATGTATTATAAAATTTGAAAATAAATAAATAATTTTAATTATTATTGAAAAAAATTATTATAAAATGATATAAATATTTCTCTAAAAATCAGTATTTCGAATTATATAAAATGAAATATGGTATATTTTAATTTTTTTAATTATTATAAAAATTATATTTATATTGTTTTTTTTATAATTAGATTTTATTTAACTATTTTGGGTGTGATTATAGCCTTCGAAAAGAAATTAATTTATTTATTATATAAAGATATATTTAGGAAAAATAATTAAATTATTATATTTTTTTATTTGCTAACCTTGGTATTTTATGAAAAATATAGATTATTGATTCGAATTTTTTAACCCGTTATAAAATTAATAATTGAATCAATACCTATCATCTTTTTGGGTTGAAATTACCTGGAAAATTGGGAATTCAACCCAATTATAAATTTTAAATTGGATTAGTGGGTTGAAGCTAGCAATTTTATAGTGGCTAGATTTGGGAATTTGCGCAAGTAGCCCACGAAATAGCTTAATCTGACTTATTATATTTTAATATGAAGTATTTGTATAATTTTGTAAATCTAGCCATTATACAATAACTAGGTTCAACCCACCCAGTTTTCCAGGCAATTTCAATCCAAAAGGATAACAGGTGCTGGCTCAATTACCAATTTCATGGTGGGTTGAAAGGTTGAGGCCAACCATTTGATAATTTATAATAATAATAATTCGAAATTATATAAATAATTAGATATTATTCCAAAATAACCCATTGAAAAGCCACGATTTACATTTGGAGATATTAGAAGCAAAATCAAGGAATATAAAAGGATAACAAATATTGATTCAATTACTAATTTCATGGTGGGTTGAAAAGGTTGATACCAATATTTTTCTGGTAATAATATTTGGAAATTATATATATATAATCCATACCATTCCGAAATTACCAATTGAAAGGCCAGGGTTGGAGTGGGTAGCATTGGTAACAAAATAAAGGAATAATATATTATTTTAATTCTAAGTGAGGTGTTAAAATTTGTTGATTTGTGTCTTGACCATTTGGAAAGGAAATCGGTCATTTTATAGAGATTTTCTGGGATAATTTCCAGGTGTTCTGGGGACAGGTCCCCTCAAAATATTGTATTTTGATTTGGATTGGGTTATTTATTTTATAAATAATTCCTTAATATTTTATAATAATGGAAATTATTTTCTTATTATAAAATGATTGATAAGACCCCCCGATATATATTTATAGGGATATTAGTATAAATATAATATAAATTTGAATTAAATTAGGATAAATTGAATTAATATATTTTAATCTATATATAAAATTATTATATTGGCAATGACATTTAATATTCTAATGAAGGATTTCATATATGTAATGATTATTTTTTTTAAGAATTGATTTAATATGTTAATTTGAATTAATATATATATATATAAGAATTTATTTGGATAATCTTAATAATATGGAATATAATTTTGGAATTTTGAACATATTATTATATTGAATATAATATATATATATATTTATTTATTAATTTTATTAATTTATATGGAATTATTATAATAATTCGAAATTATTATGCGATATATTTCGATATTATTATAAATTATATTGATGAATTTATAATATTATAATTTCATTAAATGAATTATTGTCTAAATAAATATGTTTTATTTTTATTTATTTTTATAATGAATTGAATATTATTTCAATATATTTATTTTGATATAAT